AGGTTGGGGGGGAATTGTAACCTTACGGTTTGGATTTTAATACTACCATTTTTGTTTCACAAGAAATTGTGCTTTACCCTATTTTTGTTATATAATGTATACTACGGTTCAGTGTTGAGCATTGTAATCGTAGTTTTGTGAATTTGCCTTGCTCTTGGTTATTTTATTTTACTTCCTTAAGACTTCCTCATGACAACTAAAACATCTATTAATTCTTGAAACTTTATTGAACAACATCAACAACAATACAAATATGTAATAACCTTGTCATTCGTCCAGCATAACCTAAAAGTAATAGAATTTAATAATAGTTGGCTTACGTTATAAACTTAGTTTGTGATATATATTTTTTGGACAATGTGCCTAACTTACCTTTGTTTTATTGCTTTTGGATGTCTTAAATAATGAATGTTTGACTTTGCAATCTTAGTTCAAAAGTTGTTGGCGGGATCAGCAGTTAGTGCTGCTTATGATACCTAAAAACAAAAAGCGTGTTTATTAATGTAGCCTTCATCTTTTAGAACTGTGGTGGTAGAGTTATTCAGTTATTAATTGTTTACTTACTTTAAACGGGTTGACATTTGTATTGACGTAAAGGTAGATCGAATTGATCGCACTAGGCGGCGTTTTATCGCGGGGTTGCCAAGTGTATCGCTCAGCGCTTTTAAAGCGTGGAATAGGCAGGTTCGTGTAGGATGCAATGTACGGAGCAACACTGTTCATATATCCGGCACCTGTTGTAGTTGCTTTCCTATTGGTTTACTTTTCGTGCCTAATTTGAATTTAAGATCTTTTGTCAAGCCTTTTTACGGCTATATGTTGTTTAATATCGGGAGTTTTTATTGTTGTCACATTTTTAGTAATTGTCTTTTTTATTTGACATGGTTAGTTTCCATTTAAGAGCATATTTTGTCATTTTGGGATGGTTGTGCGCAGGTCTGGTTTTCGAAGGGGGACAAAATAATGTAGAAGCCGGAAGCAGGTTTGTCTTGTGATGGTTGTCCAGAGAATAACATGGTCGATTTTTCGCTCTGCCAAGTGAAACCTTATTAAAGGGATATAAGACATGTTTATTCATATTAGGAACCGTGCAATGTTGTTTGTTGGCAATTTATGGTATTTTGAGTGCCGGATCCTATCGATGTATTTCGGATATAACTGGATTTAACTTCACCTGACCAAACTTTGCTGGATCTACATCAATCCGCTTTTGATATGATTTGGAGATAATTAAGATCTATTTCCTACGAAGACAAAACCCTTCTCGAAGGTAAGGTTAGTTTCTTCATCCAAGATGCAAATTCTTATGCTCATTTTTTCTTTTAGGGTTTTTACGTTTTGACTTTTTTAGTTTTGACTTTTAAGTTTTGACATTTAACTTTTGAATTTTAAGTTTTGACTTTTTAAGTTTTGTCTTTTAAGTTTTAACTTTTAAGCTTTAATTTTTAATTCTGGGCCTAGAGCCTCAGTCTAAGTCTCGAGCAAGTTTATTGTATCAAGTATAAAGATCAAATTGTTTTAAGTCGCACCTCCTGTGTCACCCACGATCACCAGGATATTAGATATTGGATACCGTACACGGATGGACTGACGTACAATTCATACAGGAAAAGCTCCACGTACACCAATTTTGTATTACAAAGTGCACAACTAAGGTCAGATCCATTTCTTTCACTAACAATTAGGTCCTGGTAGAATATTTTTTTTTAACTTTAATCATATTTCATATAAACTTCGATTAGTGTGAACTGCGGGTACATTGGCCAATATACACGAAGGGTTTTTAACATCATACTGTAATACCAGGGTACTTTAAATAACTTGTACTTTAATTAACTTGTCTTGGGATCTGATTTAAGTATTTTTTTATACATAAACTTCGTGTGAAATACACTTTAACTTTTTTTTAGTAATTTCTTTTATTCTCATCCCATAAATAAAATTACTTGGTGCCCAATTTTAAAAATTTATAAGGTAAGTAGTAATTGCGAAGGACATTCACCCACGACCATCTGAGCTAGCGGGATTTTGTGGTTCAGAGTCTAAGTAAGAGATTCTGCGCTATAAGAACAACTAAATGTTTATCTCTGTTACCACCAAAATGCCTAGCTTGTGGCTCAATTGAAAAGACCTTCCGATGCAGTTGCGGGTCTACCTCTAGTTCCTCTAGTAAAGAAAACACTCAAGAAAACACTCAAGTATTACAATTCACGATATGATATTAGACACATATATAAGGAAACTAATTAAACAAAAGAACAACAATAATGAAGAATTATTAAAGAAACTAAAAGAGCGCTTTATTTTATCCTACAACATAGACACAGTAGCAATATTTTCCGGCTCCAAGCTCTACATCTTAATGTTTGACCTAGAAGGAACTAATTCAGATACTCCCACTGAACCCATACAAGGACTAACTATACTACAGCACAATTGAATATAAGTTCATACAGTGCAATCTAAACAGCTATAAACCAAAAAAATACATAATAAACCATTACATACAGAAAAACAATAAAAAATGTCAATGTTTGTTGAAACAAAACTAAAAGAAGAAACTCAACCATATCAAAATTGGGACTTAATCCAAAAAGAGGGAAATATTTTAAACACCACAATCCGAGGGGGAAGTCTAATCCAGTCATCACTTGAGCTTAAAATGGGTAAAGCAAATCCACCAACTTTAAATGACGCCAGAAATTAAAAATTCATAGATGACACCAACTTTATTCAAATTGAGACCCCAACAACCTTTATCATGCCAAAGTATCCCAGCTCAACCCCTGACATTCTCCTATGTACCCCAAACATCCGCATAGTTACAGACCTAGGTGCTGACCATCAAGCAATAGAATTTATGCTAGACATAGAACCCAAACCCGAGGAAGAATTTTTTTACCTGTTTAAGAAATGTAATATAAACAAAGTTCAAGAAGAAATGATCCAACACTGCTCAGTAATAAATAATATATTCCCAGCCGAAATATCCAAGTTTCACAACGCCCTCTCCGAATCTATATTAAAAAACACACCTACTAAAACCAAAAAGTACTTCCAATCATTAACCTTACTACCATTTATCCTAAAACTCATAAAAACAAAGAGGTAAATGTACAGAGAAATTACACTAAATGACAGTCCAACACTTAAAAGAAAATTCAATGAAAACAATAAAAATCTTCAAAAAATGATAAGTCAGTACAAAGCAAATAAATGGTTAAATTCATATAAAAAATCAACGACCTAAGAGGAAAAAATTACTGGTACGAAATACAAAAACTAACGAAATACAAAAAACTCAATTCAAGCAATTCACCCATGTGCGAAAACCACACATTCCACTCTACAGAAGAAGAAAAAGCTAACATTCTTGAAAACCACTTTGAATCCGTTTACAAGATCACCGATTCACCAAACTTTGACGTCGAAAATTTTAGAGAAGTTAACAATTGGTACAACGCTTCCTTCCAACACAAACCAGCAATACCAGAAGATGAAGAAATAAACAAGGAAGAATACTACGACATATTAAATCAAGGAAAGAACAACGCTCCAGGCGATGACTACATTACCAGACACATACTAAAACAACTTAACCTCTAATCCACAAGAAAATCCTAAAGTGGAAAACAGGAACTATCATAGCCATACCAAAACCTAACAGCGATACTAGCCGTGTAAACAACTACAGGCCAATAACACTTCTAAGCGTCATAGGGAAAAATTTCGAAAAAGCTATCAACAATAACGTATTCAAAGAATTAGGAAACAATATACCAGACTTCCAATTTGGGTTCAAACAAAAAAAATTCCACAATCCACCCCCTTATAATTTATGTCAACAATGTTCAGAAAAATACAATTAAAGGTCATCACACTGCTGTTGTCATGTATGATGTGGTACTCCTGGACTGTCCAGAATATCTAATTTGGATATTAAAACAGTTTCTAGAAAACAGAATCCTCCAAATCAGAATCGGCAAACATTTATCCAGATCATTTACAATGGAACAAGGTGTTGCTCAAGGATCTCCACTCTCCACAGGCTTATACAACCTACACTTTTACGACATTAGCCCCCTTCCCCACTTTAACTCAGAACTATATATCCTACAGTTTGCGGGCGACACTGCACTTATAACCCACGCCAGAACCAGAGACAAGGCAGTCAAACAACTACAAAAGTTAGTAAATAAAACGGTAGAATGATTCTCTCCTAACCCAGTCAAATCGCAGATTATCATATTTAAACACCGAACAACTGAAAACTCCCCACAATAACCATACTAAATCATGAAATCAGACCATCAAAATCAGTAAAGTATCTGGGAATCACCCTAGAAAGCAGATTAGACTTCAAAGCACACACTAAGAACATAAAAGACAAAACAAAAGCCAGGGCTTTCCACTTCAGATCCCTAAGCTATAAAAATGAAGCCATTGATTTAGAAAACATCACCAAAATATACAAAATGATTTGTCGCCCAATCATTGAATATGGCTCCATCCCTTTATCAATGTGCAACACGTAACAACATAGAAGCCGCTGAAACAAGCTGTCTTAAAACACTTACCAAAATAAGGCATCAAAACAACACCCTCTATCACCCGTCAAACACCCTATTATAAAGTAGAATACCAGTTGTTCCCATTTCCAAAATAATTTTCATGCTGGCCACCAAATTCTCCTTGAATGAACAAACCTATCATTAATTGAGCCGTTCATCATCAACGGCGCTGCAACAAGAAAACGGAAATTTCCCGAAAAAACAATATGGGATCAGCTACAAGACTTCAAAAAATAATGCTTTTTTAAAATATAATTCTCTAATATTCTCTTTTTTCAAGTTACATAACTATTGTTTTCTATTTTTTTTTCATTTTATTACTGGTATTAATTGTAATTTAATTCAAATTGTGAACATCATAACAAAATGTATAATTGTAACAGGCAGAAAGACCTTTTAAGTAACCAATAAAGTATAAAGAATTAGGAAATGGAGTGGTCTAACGAGACAGTTCTTAAGTTCTTGGAGTGGGATGAAAATGAACCCGTAATATGGAATGCATCTTTACCAAACCATAAAAATAGAAATGATGTTTATGATGCTTGGAATCGCAACGAAGTTAAGATGGATAAGAAATACACCATCACTAAATTAAAAAAGAAAAAGGATTCATTAATGGCTACCTTTAGAGCCTGTTTAAATAAAGTAAAACAAAGCTTGAAAAGTAAAGCAGGGACCGATGAAATTGAAAAACCACCGTGGTTCGCCTATGAAGAAATGGCCAAATTCCTTCGGCATAAGAATCTTCGAAGGACAATAAATACACAGGTAGATAATTATTTTATTTAATCATATTTATTTTTACAACATAAGTACCAATTAAAAAAATGAACCGTATACAAATAGTGTAATTTTGAATTAGCAGTTTTAATCTTGCCAAGGTATCTTTCCGCTGGTTATAAAGTACTCAGCTAACTTTTTGCATCCATGGAAGGTTTTCTAGGAATGTTTTGGAGTAGTAATAGAAATGTCATAGTGTCTGTATTTGCTTGACGCCACGCGCCCTCTATAATGTTTCCATCTTCTTCCTAATCAAAGGTACCATTTGGAGAATAGAGGGATCGGGATACAAATTGTGCAAAACAACACAAGTCATAACAACTAAAGCAACTTTATCAGGTTGAAGCAACATTGGCTTCCTAAGTATTCAAAATACATAAGCCAATAGTCCGAATGTATTTATATGCTCGTGATATGCGATAGTTAAATATTTTTGACTTGCTACCTTTGTCATGTTTGCCTGGGAATGGTTTCATAAATTTTTCTGTTAATCCAAATGCGTCGTCTCCAACAAATACATAAGGCACTTTTCTATTTCTTCCTATCAGTGGTTCTGATGGAGGGCAATGCAATTCATTTTGCTCGATTTTTTTAAATAGTCGAGTATTTCGGAATACTGCTCCGTCACTAAGTCGACCTTGGCATCCACAATCAGCAAATATAAAATAATAATCAGAATCTACTAAAGCTATCAAAACCAGAATTAGTAGGCGCTTGTAACATAATATGTTTTACATCGAGGGAACCCATGCAGTGTGGAAAATTCCAGTCTTGTCAAACTTTTTAGCTACACTTTTCCATTCACAAGCACTTTTGGGAAACTGAAACAAAAAAATATAACAATAAAGAATAAGTGGTATAATTTTAATAATTACTATTAAATTTAATGTTTTAGGACATTTCGACGAAGAAGATGGCAACAATGATAAAGAGGAGACTATTGCTGGTGGAAATTGATAGACCTGCACGGGATAATAATGATAGTATGTTTGCCAACACAAAATACTAATTGGCCGTCTATAAAAAGGTCTGCGATTAAAGCTCCTGCAAAAAAATGTAAAGTAGCTAAAACGCAGGCAATTAAAGAAAAAATGAATAATGCTTATTCAATATTACAAGCTATTACTAACAAACCTGCAAAAGAAAGAAATGTGTGTTCAATATATAGGGAACTAGTAGCTGCCAAACTACAGGAAATGGATGCATAGGATTATTAACTTATTGTTTGAAATGAAAACGAATTCCTGTATTTCACATGCCAATAATAAGAGAAATCCTACTCGCCAACTGAATATTTTATATAGCCGTGACTATACACAAAGCCCACCATCGACTAGCTCTCATTCTTCAAGTTCGAACCATAGTTTTGTTTAACTCTCGCAGTCACTTTTAAATCAAGCAGCATTTGACTCCCCTCAAAAAACTTTATTACCACAAAATATACCTGAAAACTGAAATATTGCTAAGAAGAATTATATTGCTTTGGTAAATTTTTTTACTACTTTTCAATAATGTTTTAATTTTAATTTTAATTATTAAAAAGTAGTAGCTGCCAAACTACATGAAATGGATGCATAGGATTGTTAACTTATTGTTTGAAATGAAAACGAATTCCTGTATTTCACATGCCAATAATAAGAGAAATCCTACTCGCCAATTAAATATTTTATATAGCCGTGACTATACACAAAGCCCACCATCGACTAGCTCTCAATCTTCAACTCTCGCAGTCACTTTTAAATTAAGCACTCCCCTCAAAAAACTTTATTACCACAAAATATATCTGAAAACTCTGATAATATTGCTAAAAAGAATTATATTTCTTTGGTAAATTTTTTTACTACTTTTCAATGTTTTAATTTTAATTATTAAAAAGTTTTTTTTAATTAAAAAATTACCTGTAAAACTACAACCATAGCATTACAAACTTCTGGGATTATTTCGGAAATAAGTTGTGGTGAAACTTTGAACAAGTAGTGAAGTTCCCTGTTGCAAGAAAACGGAGGGTTATGGTCAAACGCTCATTTGTTGGAATCGCTTTTTTCCACTTAGTATTTTTCCTACCGATCAGTGGTCCCAATTTTTAAAGTAGATACTCTAAATCCTCGATTGATATTCGGCAGAAATTTTCAAATTTTCCGGAAGGTTCCTTTAGCAGATCTGTCATTAAGTTTCTGCCCTCATAACTAAAACAAAACGTATTTTATATAACCCGAATTTTAAAAGGCAAACTGATACCAAGAAATTATTTCCAGCTTCAATACTTACATTTTTCTGCTTTTATTAAGTGACACAGTTCACCATCTCCTTCTTCTCGGTTTATTTTTTATTTTGTTCAATAACATACTACCACAAGATATGAGTGTAAAAGTAGCTAATAGCACTGTATCGTTATCCATTGCGATCTACAAAAATATAAGCCAATACTGAATATTCGTTGTTCAACTCAACTACTTGCCAAATGGCGAGCAGTCGCTCGGTACTCGCCGAATACCGCATGTCTGGCGCCGCGCTTAGTCTAGGATCAGATTCAACCGTGGGTTTGTGGCAGCAGTTTGATCCGCAGTGTTGCCAAATAGTGCTTGCCTCATAAATGAGGGGTATAAAATCAAAGGCGGCAATCTCCCAATTCCATAGTTTTAAGAAAACTGCGAAAAACTATAAAAACTAATAGGTTGCAATATTAACACTAAAATTGATAGCGAATCATGAAAATGTGGCTTAGTATCTGGCGTATGACAAAAATTTGCTTAAGAAATCAATATAAATTGCTTTTTGAATAATATCAGTTTGCCGATTTTAAAAATGTTCTATGGGGATATTGCCAGTTTTGAAACTCACAACAGACAGGGTTAGAGGTTGAATAAACTATTCTGTCATTATTTAGTAAATACATGTATTTTAAAATTAAACAAGTATACAAGTATATTAACTAAACTAAGATATCCGGCAGTTCGGGTAGAAATTCACAAAGAATAAATACATTTTGAAATTAAACAAGGTCATCAATATTAACTAAACTAAGGTATCCGGCAGTTCGGGTATAAATTCACAAGCATCGGCGTCGGCAAACTCTGATCAGGATCTCGAGGATTCTCGTTTGTTTCTTGTTCCTTACCCTGAAGCAGATCCCTATAATAGCGTAACTGACCCAGTTCTAGCCATTTCGATCCAAAGTGTTTTGACAAAAGGTTTCCCACATCACGCAACTTCAAATTGTTAACTTGATGACCATTAGGTGCATTTATCATGGTAATCTGCTTGCCTTTTCGTGTAATTGTAACAAAACCTCCTAAATCATTTTTGTAATGGAGCTCGCTTCGTATCAAAATATTTCCTGACCTGCTTCGTTTTAGAATAAACCTTTTAGATTGTTTAAATTTAAAATCCCATGATCCCACTGGTTTAAGAACTTCTTGAACAGCAGACTTCCAATCGTAAACATAGCTTTTCTTCATATCAACGAATGTAGAAAATTGAGAAACGATTGTTTCGTATTCATCGGGTGTCGTTATTACTTCTCTTTTCCTCAACTTCTTCTAAATTTGACCAAAAACTCTGTCAGATGGTAAGAATGAGTGGCCAACTACAGGAAAGACTAACTCAAGAAGATTTACATTTGGTGGCGCGTTATGGGTTAACCACTTGCAGCACATGCCGATCATGGTTGAGTTTTTATTTTGGCCACTGCATCCATCAGCGACCAGTCGTACAGTCTCATTGAGTCGATGAAATACTGCAGATGAAATTTCATTTGATCCTTTACCAAACGCGTCCTCAGTCCAACAATATGAAAAAACATTTCCCCTTGAGAGTGAAGACTTTGAAGACCCTTGGACAATAGTAAAATTGTAGAAATAAAGCTGTCTTGAATAATAGGCGCTCTGATCAGGAACTTTGGGCAGGACCAAATTTTTTTGGCAGTCAAATGACAAAGTGATGAGGTCTTCTCTGTTTTCACGAAGTAATTCGAAAAATGCTTTTGCACGAAGATTGTGAATTCGTTTTTCAGTCATGAGTTTATTTTTGGATTCCAGATTGTTCTCACTTAGCTCTACACATTTTGAGCAAACATCTGTTCTTGGAGTTGCAAAGCTCAAATTATAATGAGATTCAGTACACATTAGTTGATTTATAAACATTTGCACCCTTTCCAGTTTATCCCGATATTTAGCAGTTTTTCGATCCCCACCCCTACGTTCAATCGGTACTTGGCCTGTTTCAGTAAAATGTTTCATTACATAGGTAAGTCTGTGTTTTGATATCCCCAAAACATTTAAAAAAGCTGTTTGACACACCGGCACCTTCTCCTTGGATAAAAAATTACGAATGAAGCATTTTACCTGGCAAACATCTGTTCTTGGAGTTGCAAAGCTCAAATTATAATGAGATTCAGTACACATTAGTTGATTTATAAACATTTGCACCCTTTCCAGTTTATCCCGATATTTAGCAGTTTTTCGATCCCCACCCCTACGTTCAATCGGTACTTGGCCTGTTTCAGTAAAATGTTTCATTACATAGGTAAGTCTGTGTTTTGATATCCCCAAAACATTTAAAAAAGCTGTTTGACACACCGGCACCTTCTCCTTGGATAAAAAATTACGAATGAAGCATTTTACCTGGTCCTTTTTGGAGAGTGTTTTTCATTTTTCGGCCGGCGACGAACTGTGCTACTTACGGTACAGTACTTCAAAATAAAGGCATTTTGAGTCGCTTTGTCTTTTGTCTCATAGAAGATGCTGTAAAATGCCTGCATATCGTTCAGTTTAAGAAAGAAGCACTTGTATGCTTTTGTCCTGTGTCCACACGTTGGGTATATTGGTAAATTCTTCGCAGAATATCTACAAACAAAATTAGTCAAGAACATAAGTGGGTTGAACTTTGAACAAATTATGTGCAACAATTAAATACAGAAAAACCAAAACTAAACAATCACGAAAAAGAAAGCACCTACCTTAATCGTTTTGCAACATTATTCTTCCATTTGTCAGGTTGCCTTATTCGCTTTCTTGCCTTTGTTGGTGTGACAGGAGACGCATTCACTTCCATAACACAAAAATATATATAAATATTTTCCAGTAAAAACTTCCAACCTTTAAATACCAAAACAGTTTAAGTAAATCTTTAAAACAACATAAACACTGCAACAAAATGCTAATGAAATGAATTGCACGTATAACAAAATTTATCAGGTGACAATCACGTGTGGGCGGCGCGTGGATCTCATCTCCGCCTGAGCGGAGATTGCCACTTTTGATCCCAACTCTAATTTTTGAATGCGAATTAAACAGGAATATTGTCACTTTTGCTTGTTACTTTTAGTTTTATTCGAAAAGGGAATAAAAAAACGAATAAGATGACATTCCTAACAAAAAATATGAAAAAATGGAGATTGCCGCCTTTGATTCTATACCCCTCAAATATTTTTTAAAAATTTGAACCTGTATTAGTTTCATTGTATTAAATTAATTTGACAATAAAAAAACATGTTGTCTAAAATGGGAGAAAGTTGAAAAAAAGACTAGAATAATTCGTAGAAAAAGCCGCAGTTAGAAGTTTCTTAGAAAGGTTTAGAAATCCTCAACTTGTGCGAAATAAGTAATTTTAAAAAGGGTACTTGAAATATAGTGTCAAAAATAATTGGGCTATTTTGAAGATAATTTGGACAAAGGCACAAAGAGAATTTCGGTGTAAAGGATAAAATGTTGCAAACAGATTTTTGAGAAAACACTTTTAATTAAATTTAATTTAAAACTAAACCTAGAAATAGAGACTATAGAGTATAGAAATAAGAGTATATTGTATTATTCTGTAAATATGAAAGCGCTACGACTTATTAAAAGATAAGTTTCGATCAGCCAATGTAAAGTACTGTCCGTTCAGGCTAAGCTGAGCGCTCTGGTGGGGGATCATGCGGCCGTTGAATCACAGTTTAATGTGGATCTCAGCGGCGTGCAAACTGATTTTGACTTTAACTATTTTAAACTTTTTAAATTGTTTGTTTGGATTATAATATTTGGGTAAACTAAAAATTAAATAAACGAATAAAAACTTGAAAGAACATTTATTCTTTAATATAAATATAATAACAGACAGTTTGCGCTTATTCAATATTTGTTATCCAGTATACAGGATGTAGGGGTGGAAACAGCTGGTGTAAAGTAATAAAGTAAAAATAGATTTTTTGGAATTAAAAAAAATAACTTATAGCGAAAACATTATAAATTTTGAAAAATTGAGGAGATGAAGTAACAAACGGGCTAAGGGCCAATTTTTCTTAAATGAGATTATGCTTTAAACATAGAAAATGTCCACGGCAAAATTTTAGTTAAAGAAAAATACGCACTTACCCCCTTTATTACTCCACCTCCTCAATTATAATAATGTTTTGAAACATTCTAAGGGTAACTGGATTGTTGCTAGTTAAAATTATAAAAACTGTCAAATACGTATTGTAAACAATGAATGGGATACGTTTTTTTTTTGTCAGTTTTTAATAATATTGAATAAAACAAATCCTCAAAATAATTCTAAATATAATAACAGTTTTTAAAAATTAATAAATTTGTTTTTTGAAAATATTAACAAATAATTCATTATTTTAATACCTTAAACCTGTTCAATTTTTCACCCCTAAACCGTAAACACACTATCTAACATTCACTTCCCGCACTTGTACACCGGCACCTTCTCCTTGGATAAAAAATTACGAATGAAGCATTTTACCTGGTCCTTTTTGGAGAGTGTTTTTCATTTTTCGGCCGGCGACGAACTGTGCTACTTACGGTACAGTACTTCAAAATAAAGGCATTTTGAGTCGCTTTGTCTTTTGTCTCATAGAAGATGCTGTAAAATGCCTGCATATCGTTCAGTTTAAGAAAGAAGCACTTGTATGCTTTTGTCCTGTGTCCACACGTTGGGTATATTGGTAAATTCTTCGCAGAATATCTACAAACAAAATTAGTCAAGAACATAAGTGGGTTGAACTTTGAACAAATTATGTGCAACAATTAAATACAGAAAAACCAAAACTAAACAATCACGAAAAAGAAAGCACCTACCTTAATCGTTTTGCAACATTATTCTTCCATTTGTCAGGTTGCCTTATTCGCTTTCTTGCCTTTGTTGGTGTGACAGGAGACGCATTCACTTCCATAACACAAAAATATATATAAATATTTTCCAGTAAAAACTTCCAACCTTTAAATACCAAAACAGTTTAAGTAAATCTTTAAAACAACATAAACACTGCAACAAAATGCTAATGAAATGAATTGCACGTATAACAAAATTTATCAGGTGACAATCACGTGTGGGCGGCGCGTGGATCTCATCTCCGCCTGAGCGGAGATTGCCACTTTTGATCCCAACTCTAATTTTTGAATGCGAATTAAACAGGAATATTGTCACTTTTGCTTGTTACTTTTAGTTTTATTCGAAAAGGGAATAAAAAAACGAATAAGATGACATTCCTAACAAAAAATATGAAAAAATGGAGATTGCCGCCTTTGATTCTATACCCCTCAAATATTTTTTAAAAATTTGAACCTGTATTAGTTTCATTGTATTAAATTAATTTGACAATAAAAAAACATGTTGTCTAAAATGGGAAAAAGTTGAAAAAAAGACTAGAATAATTCGTAGAAAAAGCCGCAGTTAGAAGTTTCTTAGAAAGGTTTAGAAATCCTCAACTTGTGCGAAATAAGTAATTTTAAAAAGGGTACTTGAAATATAGTGTCAAAAATAATTGGGCTATTTTGAAGATAATTTGGACAAAGGCACAAAGAGAATTTCGGTGTAAAGGATAAAATGTTGCAAACAGATTTTTGAGAAAACACTTTTAATTAAATTTAATTTAAAACTAAACCTAGAAATAGAGACTATAGAGTATAGAAATAAGAGTATATTGTATTATTCTGTAAATATGAAAGCGCTACGACTTATTAAAAGATAAGTTTCGATCAGCCAATGTAAAGTACTGTCCGTTCAGGCTAAGCTGAGCGCTCTGGTGGGGGATCATGCGGCCGTTGAATCACAGTTTAATGTGGATCTCAGCGGCGTGCAAACTGATTTTGACTTTAACTATTTTAAACTTTTTAAATTGTTTGTTTGGATTATAATATTTGGGTAAACTAAAAATTAAATAAACGAATAAAAACTTGAAAGAACATTTATTCTTTAATATAAATATAATAACAGACAGTTTGCGCTTATTCAATATTTGTTATCCAGTATACAGGATGTAGGGGTGGAAACAGCTGGTGTAAAGTAATAAAGTAAAAATAGATTTTTTGGAATTAAAAAAAATAACTTATAGCGAAAACATTATAAATTTTGAAAAATTGAGGAGATGAAGTAACAAACGGGCTAAGGGCCAATTTTTCTTAAATGAGATTATGCTTTAAACATAGAAAATGTCCACGGCAAAATTTTAGTTAAAGAAAAATACGCACTTACCCCCTTTATTACTCCACCTCCTCAATTATAATAATGTTTTGAAACATTCTAAGGGTAACTGGATTGTTGCTAGTTAAAATTATAAAAACTGTCAAATACGTATTGTAAACAATGAATGGGATACGTTTTTTTTTTGTCAGTTTTTAATAATATTGAATAAAACAAATCCTCAAAATAATTCTAAATATAATAACAGTTTTTAAAAATTAATAAATTTGTTTTTTGAAAATATTAACAAATAATTCATTATTTTAATACCTTAAACCTGTTCAATTTTTCACCCCTAAACCGTAAACACACTATCTAACATTCACTTCCCGCACTTGTACCAACCTCACATAAAAAATATGAAATACCCTCAATTTCTTCTTCACGTACTGTCCTCATTTGCCAATCAATCAGAAGAAAAATGAAGAAACTGATGTATCGGTGTCAGAACTGTCGTCACCTAAACTTATTATCAGTTGATCAACTTGATTTTATATTAAACCATCTGTTTCAAAAAAAAATTCTTCCAATTTTATGACGTGATTTACAAAAGACTCCCAATGCCTAACTGAAACTGCCTGAAGAGCATTTTCTGTTAAGACAAGTAGGTCCTTTAGGCTTAATTCCCCAACATTATGTTCCGGAATGTATCTTTTTGTTTGAGCCCATGCCAGTTCTATAGGGTTCAGCTCGCACATGTAGGGGGGAAGTCTTAAAGGAATGTGCCCATTGGCCCTTACAATCTCATCGATTTATATTCCTTCGGTAAAGGGTGAGAAGAAATAAATTTTGATATGGCATCAAATAGATCGCTTTTTCTTGATGAAGAGTCATGTTCTATATTCATCATTTGAAGCCATGCGATTATGGTTGGTTTAGTAGAATATTTGGTTGGCAACTTATTAATTCGTTCCGAATGATAGGGTGCGTTGTCCATAACAATAACGGACCCAGTGGGAATATTAGGGAATAAGCGTTCCTTAAGCCATTTCTCAAAATTGGCTTTGTTTATCTGGTCATGTTAGTCTCCAGATGCTAATCCAGAGCGAAACACCAGGGAAACAAACCCATTTTCATTGCCAGCGTGAACTATAATCAGCCTATAGGAACTCCGTATGCCGCTCGCCACACCGAATATCCCATTTCCTTGTAGACATTTTTTTACAGACATGTCTCATCCAAATAAATAATGTTTTTATTGTTATATCGATGATTTCTAATGGCCCTTAAATATTTAAGACGCCACCTTAGGATTTGCGGCCTTTCCATCAAAATTTTTCTTTTATTTTGGCTTTTACGCCAAACAAACCCGCGAGCACGTAATAACATATAAAGAGAAACATCGAGTTTAGGCCTCAAAGCTGCCAATAAGGTGCGCAATGTGGGAACCCGTTTTAACACCAAATAAAAATGTTCAATTTCCCGTCGTATAATTTGAAAATCAAAATCATCAATATTCCTTATTATAGATTTGTTTTTTTGTGTTTTCCCGGAGAACTTAAAGGATTATTAGATTCTTCCCGTTCCCTATGCTCTCTTTTTATTCTTTTAATTGTGGCCTCCCCTACACCTGTATATGCGGCTGCCCGTTTGGTTGAAGCGTTTAACGTAAACATAAAACCTTTATTTTCGGCTTCTTTTTCACAGACTAAAATAACCCTAGAAATTATTTCTCTAGCGCTGCTTTTTATAGATTTTCCTTTCTTGCTCTCCATAATCTAATAAAGTAGATATAAAACCAATAAACATTAAAACAATAATAATACCTGATATATTAATTATTAAATAATTAATAAAACTAATAACTTATTAAATAATTTATTAATATTATTAATCTAACTTAATCTACATTTCTATTAATTTATTACATATCCATCTCACGCGCCACTGAGATATTTTAACAGTTTATTAAGCGGCGCAAACAACACGCCCCATTACAATTGTCCAGTAAATTAAATATCGAATCTTCGCGAGATTTTGGTGACAAGAAGATAATTTATCAGTGCCGCGGCTTGCCGTTTGTTCGTATAGAGCGGCTACCGAATTCCTTAAGAAAATACATGTATTTAATTGTGCCTGAATATAGAGAGGATAATAATAATAATAATACTTTATTGATGTTAAAAACACAAACAGTGTATACATACGTCACAGAAATATAAAAATGTATATCTAAATAAAAAACACATATTACTTACTAAACAAACAATATTTAGGTACATTTAGTTAAAATATGTTAAAAACTCATTAAAGGTATAAAATGCGTTCCTTTGCAGCATGTTCTTGACCTCGCTTTTTAGAGCGTTTATTGATAAAGTCTTAATTTCTTCCGGTAGGCAGTTAAAAAATTTAATTGCCCAGTAATTTGAACCATTTTGACATCTTTTCAAGCGGCAATTGTTAAGCACAAGATTGTTGTTGGATCTCGTGTTGTAGCCGTGAAAATCACTATTTTGATCAAACACATTCAGATTTCTTTTAACATACAGTATATTTTCTAAGATATACAAACAGGGGCATGTCAGTATACCCAGGGAGATAAAAGCTTTTCTACAGTCATCTCTATAGCTCAGTCCTGCCAATAATCTTATTGCCCTTCTCTGCAACTTAAAAAGTCTTTCGGCTTCAGCCGCATGACCCCAGGCAAGAATAGCATAACAAAGGCAAGACTGGAAATTAGAAAAATACACTGATTTTAGCACTTTAACAGATACACACTTTGACAAACTGCGCAGTGCAAACAGACTCTTGCTTAATTTTTTAGAGACATTTTCGATATGTGTGTTCCATAATAATTTATTATCAAGCAAGACTCCTAAAAATCTTGCGCTGCTTGTAAAATTATTATCAATATGAACTGTTCTTAGGCTAAAAAGAATTTTATTTGTTTTATCTGCATTAAGCAGAAGTCTGTTTGCACTGAACCAGTTTTCTGCCATCACCTGAGCCTCCTTCAATTTTGACAATGACTCTTCCAGACTGTCATAACTTACACCTATCGTGGTGTCATCAGCAAAAAGAGTAAACTTTAAACTAGAATCCAGCAATGGCAAGTCATTTATATAAATTAAAAACAAGATAGGTCCCAATATAGAGCCCTGAGGAACCCCTATATTCGTGAAACCCTCTCCTGAAACCCCTCCCGAAATTTTTACTACTTGACATCTATTTTCCAGATAAGATTTTAATAAATTAACGCTGTTAATATTAAAACCATAATATTGCAACTTATTCAACAAGATATCATGATTGACACAATCAAAAGCCTTGCTTAAATCACAAAACATTTTTTTTAAAGACTCCAATATTTCAGAAGTTAGATTTATAATTGCCGACGTTGTACTGATATTTTTTCTAAAACCAAATTGGTTTAAAGAGAATAGGTTGTTTTGTTCAAAGAAGGTTGTAATTTTGTTTGCCATGCATTTTTCTATAATTTTAGAAATTACAGGCAGCAGAGATATTGGACGGTAATTTTCAACCAAGTTTGGATCGCCCTTTTTAAAGATTGGCACAACCACGGCTTGCTTTAATATATCTGGGAATACACCCTGCCCAAAACATAAATTAATTAGTTTTGTTAGTGGCACCACTATTAGGTTTTTAACAGTTTTAATAATGTTTAGGCTAAGACCAAATATATCAGAACTGCGTTTGTTTTTAAGGTTGTCAATTATATCTCTAACTTCATTAAATGAGACTTCATCAAAA